TGAATATCAAAAAAGTATTAAAGAGGTCGGTTTTATTTTATATTTTTTAAGTGTGAAACCTTATAGAAGTTAAAATTTTAAGTTCTAATAAATTATTAAGGTCGTGGTTCTATCACCCCCAAACTCAAAAACTCTCCTAACAAATAAAATGCCATTGCTAAGTTGTTGATATTTATAAGGCTTAAAGTATTTTGACCAAAATGATCTTTGTCATTTTTATTATTACTCTAATAATAATCATGCTTTTTCCTGGCTCTGCCTTTTTAGATTCTGGTCAGTTTTGAGAACTCCTGGTCTCGGTGGCATTCATGTGTTTTCAGACAATGAGAGGGAATCTGGAAAGATTTACTAGTCACTCAAATGTGAATAAATTTAGTAGGAATTTGGACAAGGACCAAATAGTAGTAGGACTTTCTTTCCATTAAACATTATGTAGAGTCTTTACAGAGAACTCACTCGCTATCAACTCTGTGGGAATAATTTTTAACAGTTTACTTGTTGCTTTTGCAGACTAAAACTTCATCACTTTAGAAAGTAATTTGATTCACTTATCTATTTAGTCTTTAGTGTTAGAGAGACCTGTATTTTTAAATTGCAGATTTTTTCCTTCATCATCAGGAGGAGTGGTTATGCTCTGTAATGCTATGCTTAAGGAAAATTACACATTTGGGGTATCTAAATTGGCATGCCAAATTATAGGACATTTTAATTATTATGTGGATGTGACAGATTCAATTATTCTCGAACTCTTTTGAGAAAGCTGCCCTTAGCAGTGATTCACAGTAGTAAACAAAAGATTAACAGGAAAATGCCCTTTATGAGGCTTAATAAATGTGTCCGATTAAATACCATGGGACGGAATTAACTGCAATGTCTACATGTAGAAAAACATCCTGTGTCCTGCTTGGAGGTTCAGCATATTCTCTTAAGATAAATTTACTCTAAATGTGGCCTAAATGAAGAACTAAGTGCCACTTAACATCAGAACTGTTTTCTTAGGTACGACATTTGGGCCAATTGTTCAGACTCTTTCTTCCCTCTGAAACCATTAACCAAAGCCACTAATAAGTAGAAATGCAGAGTTAAGAGCCCCTTCCTCCCTCTTTCAATTTCCAGTGGACATATTAATGAGCAATAAAGCAGCTAAAAGGCAAGCAGCTAAAGAAAGAGAAAGAAGCAAAGAAAGGTGATTGGGAAAACAGATATTCCGCCCTCAGCAATGCAGATTGGGCTGCCTCATGTGTCATGTGGGCTGTGATCACAGGAATTTGGAGCTCAATTTCTTAATCGCTTCTTTAGTCTTATCCAAAGAGAAAAGTGGATTTCTAGAGATTTCTTCTGTGCAGAGAGCAATTATGCTAAAGCTGCTTAGGTAACAGCTTTTTTGGCCAGCTTTTCTCTCGGAATAATAAAGTACACCCAGAGCCGATTTCAGAATGCACCTTAACCTCACCATCCAGAGTTTAGCCCCTCTTAGCAGCTGACATGTTCTAGAACCTTAAAGAAATTCCAGAAGCATTTACCTCTTTTCCAAATATTGCTTAGAGTCTATGAAACTGGCTCAGCAATTAATTTACTGTCGGGTCTTTCCCATCTGTTTTTTATGACATTACCCTACCTTTTAGATAAACTGAATTTGACTTTCTTAAATCAAGAAGTTTCCCAACTCTGATCATATGTATAAATACCCTTCAATGCTGAGAGTCTGAGAGTTAAAAGCACTAAGTAATGATAAGAACCCAAAATGCCTTTGGCAGAATGTAAAATGCCACAGGACTGCTGAGTGCCCAGAATAATAGTCTAGAACTTTCATTTTCTTCCTTTCCTATAACATTATAGTAATAAAAGGTCAGGTTAGGCCTTTCTTTGCGTGGTAAAACAGGGTAATCAAACCATTTAAACACCATCCAGGCCTACCACCCAAACAGATTCTCTCCCTCTCCTGCCCCTTTCGGAAATATTGTCTCTGTTATAATATGTTACTGCAAAACATCGTGTTTCAATGGGTTTCTTTCTGCTGATTAACAGGTTTTAGATTCAGGAAGACTGAAAGAATATGATGAGCCATATGTTTTGCTACAAAATAAAGAGAGCCTATTTTACAAGATGGTGCAACAACTGGGCAAGGCAGAAGCCGCGGCCCTCACTGAAACAGCAAAACAGGTGAGCGTGCTCCAGGGAGTTGTAATTAAAGTTTGTCTCAGCAGCTCCTTCCGCACAATTTGGCACCGTGGGTATGGTAACAAGCACTGTGTACCCTTTTCAATTATAAGCCTGCAGAGACAAAGCTTCACGACTGGGCCTTAATGGCACGTCCCGGGTTGAAGTCAGGTCTGCAAAGAGTCGGCAGAAGCGGGTAGGGGTTGGGGGGTCAAGTGTGTGCACATACGTGTGCGTGCCGTGTGCCCAAGCAGAAAGGTGTTAGACCAGACTTTTTACACATGTAGACTCTATGGGTTCAGATTCTCATAGAAAAAGG